GGGGGGAGTTACCTGGCTGCTTCTTGCTCCTTGTGGCCCGACTGAGGGCTGCTGGGAGCAGGGGGCGGGGCTTGTTGCATGTGCCTGCCCCCTGGGCAGTTTGGTGTCGTGGTTAAGTGCACGGACTCTAAACTGGGAGAGCCGGGTTTGATTCCCCACTCCTCTACTTGCAGCCGCTGGGTGACCTTGGGCAAGCCGTAGTTTTGATAAGAGCTGTCCTTGAAAAAGAGCAGTTTCTGTCAGAGCTCTCTCAGCCCCACCTACCTCCAAGGTGCCTGTTGTGGGGGGGAGGGAAAGGAGTTTGTCAGCTGCTCTGAGACTCCTTTGGGTAGTGAAGGGCGGGGTATAAATCCAATCTCCTCTTCTTCTTCTTCTCTTACTGCCGGAGCGCCGCTCCTGTGCGCTCCCACAGGAAATGACCCCTGAATATAACAAAGAGGCATGGATATGTCTTAAATCAGTAACTCGCCTGCGTATGTGGGGCACAGCCCCCTGGCATCACCAGCCCCAGGTAGCTAGAATGGGAAAGAGACGGGAAGTGTGGGCGTGACTGCTGACGTGACTACGAAGAGAGGGTCTGCTTCAGTCCAAGGGTTGCCTCCTTCTAACCACCTAGGTAAAAGGTAAAGGTTTCCCTTGCTCGAAAGCCAGTCGAATCCGACTCTAGGGTTGCGGTGCTCATCTCCGTTTCCAAGCCGAAGAGCCAGCGCTGTCCGAAGACGTTTCCGTGGTCATGTGGCCGGCATGACTAAACGCCAAGGCGCACGGAACGCTGTTACCTTCCCACCGAAGTGGTGCCTATTTATCTACTTGCAATTTCTTGCTTTCGAACTGCCAGGTTGGCAGGTGCTGGGGCCAGAGACGGGAGCTCACGCCGTCATGCGGCACCCGGGTCTCGAACTGCTGAACTACTGACCTTCCACAGCCTGCAGTTCAGCGTCTTAACCACTTGAGCCACCGCAGCTCCTCCACCTATCTAACCACCTATCTTCTAGCTCTTGGTTCCCTCCGTGTTTTTCTTCTCCCAGATGCATGCCGGACGGCGCGTGGAGGACCTTCCGACTCCTGCGTTCACCGTGGACCTCGACGTGGTGAAGAAGAACGCGCGGGAGATGACGGAGCGCTTTCGGGCCTTGGGGGTGAACCTGAGGCCTCACATGAAAACCCACAAGACCCTGTGAGTGGCTTCCTTTCGGCTCACCTCTTCTCCGAACCCTTCTGTCATGATCTGTGCAGGACTGGGAGCAAGGCCTAGTGCGGCCTGGTCCCAGGAGAGACCAGTGTGGGAGTGGAAGGCAGGCAGCATACAATCCCCAGAATGCTTAGAGAGGGTTATAGGCAATCCGTTTCCAGAGATTGTGTGAGGAGATTCTGACTTAAGCTGTTAACTGTGGAAAACGGGGTGTTCTTTCGTCTCTCATCTGCAGTCTGCTCTCACAGAGGGGACAGGCTGGTCTGGTGAGAGAGAAAGATCCCTCACTGGTAGCGTAACCTGGCAGGCTGTGGGCCTGGAAGTAGTAACTATTTATTTATTTATTTATTTTATTCAATTTATACCCCGCCCTCCCAGCGATGCGGGCTCAGGGCGGCTTACATGGAGGCAAACGCCATTATAAAACATATATAAAACATATAAAACCATTTAAAATCCCAACAATACAAAAACAATTTTAACAGGTTATTGACTAAAGTGCTCTAGGTGTTCAACATAATATTTCATAGATGGCGTATTTCAACTATTCAGCATCATCTGCTCCAGGGAAATGTTGATGTTCCCTCATCCAGGGCCAGGTAAAGATGGAATAATGGTGATGGTAGTGGCGGCCCCTACTCATACGCCTGGTGGAAGAGCTCCGTCTTACAGGCCCTGCGGAACTGCACAAGGTCCCGCAGGGCCCAGATCTCCTCCGGGAGCTCGTTCCACCAGGTAGGGGCCGCCACCGAGAAAGCCCTGGCCCTGGTAGTGGCCAGCCTGGCCTCTTTGGGGCCTGGGATTACCAGGAGGTGTTGGGTCCCGGACCGAAGTGCTCGCGGGGGAACATATGAGGAAAGGCGGTCCCTTAGCCAAGCGAACTAGGTAGTCATGTTAGGATTGTGTTTATTTTGGCTTCTAGATACTCCTATATCTTTTAAAGCACCTAGTCTTGTTTTCCTTGCCCCAGTACCGTGTCAGTAAACCATTTTGTTTCATTGTTCTCTGCCTGGTCATCACGCCTATAGTTCTCGGCTTAAAAGGGGGCATTTTTGGATGGGCTTGGGAGAGTACCCTGGGCCTTCTCAAGGGACCCGAAGTCCAGAGTGGTGGCAGCGGAAGGTGGCCGGTCCCCCTGGGGGTCATGACACCTTCCCTCTCTGAGTTTGGGCCACGTCTACGGTTGCCAACCTCCAGGTGGTGATGGAGAGCTCCCCGGATTACACCCGTTCTCCAGGTAAAAGAGGTCAGTCCCCTTGGAGAAAAATGGCTGCTTTGGAGGGTGTTTCAGATTGACCCAGGCACTGAGAGAGGAGGGGTCACCCAAAGCCACTTACTGAGTAACTGAAATTTAGGTTTGCCAGGTTGGAAAATTCCTGGAGGTTTGGCGGGGTGGGGTGGGGGGGAGAGCCTGGGGAAGGTGAGGTTTGGGGAGGGGAAGACCCTCAGTTGGGTATAATGCTGCAGAGTCCAACCTCCCAAGCAGCCGTTTTCACCCGGGGGATCTGATCTCTGTCGCCTGGAGATCAACTGTAATCCCAGGTAGAGATGTGAAGGCCCCGGGAAAAACCCGAAAAATTCGGGGGGGAAACAGAGTTTTTTCAGGTTTTTTCCTGAAGCCTTTTTTGGTTTTTTCTGAAAAATTGAAAAAAGAAAAGACAAAAAAATTGATTATAGAACATTTTATTTTAACGTGATGAATGAAATATTTTAAGACAAGGTGTCCAAATATTTTCCAAATCATTTCTAAAAAATATGTATGGTATCAGATGGGT